CCAGTGGGACAAGCTGATGGGCGTCTGGAACTGGGACACACTGAGGAAGAAGATGTATCACCTCACTACAGGCCCTAGTGTTGTGTGGCTGCGTGGGGATGGAAGCAAACACAGTTCACCTCATTAGGGGTTTCTGAGGGCCTAAGATGTGTAGCTCCGTGAGCAAAGGCACTTGCTGCCAGGCCTGACAACCGGAGTTCAACCTCCGGGGCTCACACAGTGATAAGAAGAAAACAAACTCCCTCGAGTTGTCCTCTAACCTCCACACACACCCCACAGATAAATGTAATTTAAAGAATTAAAATATATCTTAATACGTAATGATTTCTGACTGTGAGGAAGATGTCGGGTACAGGGACAGGACCGTGGTGGCTTCCTATCACTGGCTCACTCGTATGTACCATGCACATAGAGAGCAAGGGTCTGTCTGACCTCAGCCCGGAACACAGGTGCACATTCTCAACAACAAAGAGGGAAAGGCTCTCTTCTTGCTCCGAAAGACATGAGCTGGGGTGTTGATCAAGTAAAGAGGAGAGAAAGAAAAGCCGTCTAAATGTCGGAACATCTTTGACCAGCTTTCTGTGCCCGCAATCTTCTTAATCTCGCAGAGAACCCCTGAGCGCCTGTGTTTCATATAGCAGGCTCTCTGGCGCAGTTACCGATACAAAGAAACCCGTCAGCTCACTAATAACAGTCCTGACTCCTGACAAGGCAAGGAGCCAGTGTTTTCTGTTCACTGTCTCCGGGAAATTAAAACTGTACCACAGTGCGCTTGGAAAACGCCTTTTTTCATGTGTTTCCTCTGCTGCCAATGGCACTGCCAGTCAGTGGAATCAGCACCTTGGAGGAAACAGGAAATTGCTTGAATTGTACATAGACCCAACCAGATGTTACACCAACGGGACAGTGACAATGAAGTCAGACTTAGATGGCTGCTACATTATAGCTTTTTGAGCTGAGAAGGAGAAAAGTAAATAAAAGCTGTTGGCTGGGTGTTTGGGCTCACGAGTATGTATGTTTTGTGTGTGTGTGTGTGTGTGTGTGTGTGTGTGTGTGTGTATGCCTGTGTATGTATATGTGTTAGAGGACATGTTTCTGACAAAAGGAAATAAAATGGAGTCTCATGGTCTCTCTTCTCTCTCCCACAGTTCAATGACAGAATTAACAAAGTTCAAGGCGATGCACCATAGGCAACAAGAGTGAGTTCAACAAAGTCAGAGTCAAAGGGGGAATCGCAGGAACACAACTGTGTTGCCTTTATGCTAAGAGACGGTTACTACCAGTTCCCACGCCTAGGAGGAACTACACAGTTCCTCTGTGCATAGAGACCACTGCCCACCAAAGCAGCCCTCCCCTACGCACATCAAAGCTAGACGGGCTCAGAAGACGACCTCGTTCCTATCTCCCTGGGCAGCTGGTCACAGCCATGCTGCTCAATTCTCACCTGTGGACACATGAGGGGGGTGATGGCTTCCCCTACTAGTCTCTGCATGTCTGAGTTTGCCTGACCCACCTCAGGCTAGAACACAGATGCACCTCTGCCCACCACGGACACTGTGACAAGGGCAGCATACTGAGGGATGAACAGCACAGTGGATGACATCTACAATCCTGAACGGAACAAAGCTAACCTAAACAGAGAGGTGCATTTCTCTCTGTTTCCATGGTGTGCTTGAGGCCTCTTCGTAACCGCCACTCAGCCGTCACCCTCCCACGCGCCATGTCATTTGGAGGTCGCCTCCTGCAAACCAAGAAAAGGGGCAACAGGAGAGCAGTAAATGCTGCCAGCATTCAGACTTTGACCCTCCAGCGCCGTAGAAAAACTAACTTGGCGTTATTTGAGCTTCTTGGCTAAGGCACTCTGCAGCGGGAGCCAGAGCACAACATGAGTCATCCTCGCGGCCCGTGAGTGAATAGACACACACGGAGCTTGAAGCCATATCTCCGAATCACAATCGCAAAGCTGCAATGAGTTTTATTTAATCCATTAGCACAGGAAAGTTAACAGACAGGAGAATATATTCACAACATCCGAAGCCAGAGATGAATAACCGGAAACTGCCTGCCTAGAGATCTAGAAACCCTGTCAACTGTCACGCAAAAACAAACACAAAAGTGACTATCCATAGGTAAAGTCCAGTTGTCTGGCCTTGTGTATGAACAAGAGCCCAACGCTACTATCAACAACATAAAAGGAAAACCTGAGTGTTTCAACATCAATGGAGTTCGATACCATTCATTAATACGATAAATTTAGAATAGTAGTCAATAAATGCTGGGTAGGAGGTGAGGACAAACAATGATAGGTCCCAACAGAGACATGATAAACCAGTCCACTGGTTCTAGAAAGCAATCTAACAATATTGGGGAAATTAATACTGAGGAAATTAGTTTTGAGAATATCCTATGATCTAGCAGTCGGCTTCTGGTATAGACAGAATGGTTATACCTAAGCAATATATATATATATAGTCCATCTACATCTAATCTATATCTATCTATTAATCATACATATATATGGAAAGATATCTTTGTGGGTCAGAGTGCTCACTGCACAAACATGAGGGTGTGAATCCAGGACCTCAACACCCACATAAAAGGCAGATGGACAAACCCATAGTCCCAGGTTTGGGGTGGATGGAGACAGAAAACTCGCTGGAACTTGGCTGCCTCCAGTCAAGGAGAAAACCACCAGTCTCCAGGCTCAGGGAGACATACTGTCTCAGTGGAACAAGACAGACTGACGGAGGACACTACCCACGGGTCTGGCTTCCCGTCAGGTGTGCCTGTGTTCCCAGTATCAGCAGTGCTGAGGGGCTGGGAGCGCGGCATCTTGCACTGTCCACATGGTACATGCTCCTCTGTCAGGTCTTTCAGCCACCAACACACTCCTGTCAAGCTCTCAGACTTCCTCCGTTTTCGTGCTGCTCCCATCCTCCCGCCCACTATCATCCCTTCAAGCATGTCTGCTTGTGCTAAATGTTCTGCTGTGCTGAACGGAGCCATTCCTTCTGTAAGTCACCAGCCTATTTAGGTATCACTGAAATTTCTTTTTTTTTTAATTCTTTATTAATTACACATTATTCACTTTGTATCCCCCCTGTGGTTCCCTCCCTCCTCCCATCCCAATCCCTTTCTTCCTCCCTCTGCTGCATGCATGCCCCTCCCCAAGTCCACTGATAGGGGAGATCTTCTTTTCCTTCCTTCTGATCCTAGTCAATTAGGTCTCATCAGGAGTGGCTGCATTGTCTTCTGTGGCCTGGTAATGCTGCTCCCCCCTCGGGGGGAGGTAATTAAAGAGCAGGCCAACCAGTCCATGTTTGAGACAGTCCCTGTTCCTATTACAATGGAACCCACTTGGACACTGAACTGCCATGGGCTACATCTGTGCACGGGTCTTGGGTTGTCTCCATGCATGATCCTTGGTTGGAGTTTCAGTCTCAGGAAAGACCCCTGTGTTCAGGTTTTTTGGTTCTGTTGCTCTCCTTGTGGAGCTCCTGTCCTCAATCACTTATGTAAAGACTGAAATGCGTTATCGTGACACTGGGCTTGCAACGCCTTGCACTCCTTTTCCTTTCTCCTCTTATGAGGTGCACCTCTAAACCTCCATATTTTCAGCCTAATATTCACGAGGGACCTTTACTAACCCTCCTTAAATATGCTGAGTGAACTGAACTAAGGAATTTCTGGAAGATTGAAAGTTGTTTAAAAAAAAAAGAACCCTTGAATGTTTAAGTTAGTTTAAGGCTCAGTTTGGGTGTTGATTTCACAAGAGAGAACTGAGGCAGACATGAGAAAGAGGAGGTTCAAGAACAGTGTGAGGTCTGAGCTTGTGCTCTCAACCAAGAGAGAGGGGAATGAAATAACATCTTAGGTTTTTATTTTATTTTATTTAGTTCTCCCCCTTCCTTCTTCCCTCACTATCTCTCTTTCTCTCTTTGAGGGGTGTGTGTGTGTGTGTGTTTATGGAGGCCAGAGTTTATGGAGGGAGTTCTGATGGTTGCAAGCAGCCCAGTATGGGTGCTGGGAATCAAACTCTGCTTTTCCCTAAGAGCAGCCAGAGCTCTGAGCCCCACCCCGGTGCTTCTCTGCAGCCACCGACAGACATGAACTGAACTACTGTGTCCCAGGCAGGATTTAATTTCAAAGGAAAAAATTTTCAAATTGAAAGAGACCGTTAAGCCCTGAGTTGAGTCTCTACTCTATATCTTTCATTGTTTTTGTTTTGTTTTTTAAGGCTTCCAAATCTAGTATTAGAGTCTAATTTAGGCTAAGGAGCTAAATTTCCTAATTTCTTGATCTTGAGTTTTTGCGTAAATTCCCTGATGTTTCTGTCACTTGCCACTTGGTGCCTTGTCCACAGACTCCAGACCCTTAAAAAATAAAAATAACAAATTTTAAAAGATAAAAAGTCCCCAAAGTATTTAGCACGACCTAGTTTGTGCGGTGATGGTGTCGGGCGCGTGGTTTAGGGGCATTTGTTTGTCTATTTGTTTTGTCTATTAGTCAGGGTTTCTCTGTGTAGTCCTGGCTGTCTTAAAACTCTGTAGACCAGAGTGGCCTCGAACTCAAGAGATCTGTCTGCCTCTGCCTCCCTAGTGCACCACCACGCCTGGCTGGCCACATGGATTTCTTGGTTTCTTCATTCACTGTCACTTCTGGGTCTCTTTTTTTCCTTCTTTTAGAAACGTAATTAGAAGGTGGGAAACTTGGCCCAATTTCATGTTGTCAGCTGTAGTTAAAAGGCAAAGGTGTTTAGATTTGGAAGCGACACTTTCCTGGGCTTCGAACTCCTGGGATCTAAAACCGAATTTGCTTTCTTTAACAACGTGTTTATAAATGAGGGCGGGAAACGTGGGGACCCGTCGCGCTCCCCGCCCACCCGGGACGTCAGAAAGCGCGCTGTGCCTTTAAGAGCCTGAACCCGGGAGGCGGAGCTCCCGTCCGGCGTGCCCGCCGATTGGCCAGGCCTACCGGAAGTGGGCGGTGAACGCGCCGCGTCTGTTGCCGCCTGCGCTGCGCGGTGTGCGAGGCCGCCGCCGAGCCCCCTCGTCGGCTGTGACCCCCGCTCGCGGGCGTGGGACGTGGGTGGAAAACGGGCCCCCTTCCTCCCGCGGGGCTCCGAGCGGCGGCCGCGCTCCCGCGAGCCTGCCGAGCCGCTGCGGGCCGGGGTCCGCTCGGAGGGCGGGGGCTGCCGGAGCGCCCGGCGTCGCGGTCGCGTCCCGGCCCCGAGCCCCGGCGCCCCTTGAGGTCTCTCTTTCCCCTGTTGTGCAGGTTCGCTTGCGGCGTCATGGCTCAGAGGGCCTTTCCGAATCCTTACGCCGATTATAACAAGTCCCTGGCCGAAGGCTACTTCGACTCCTCCGGGAGGGTGAGTCGAGGCGGCGTCACCCACCCTCCTCCCCGTCCCCGCACGACCGCGCCTCAGCCGGGAGGGTGGGGGGGCCCGTCCGTCCCCTGCCGGGGACGCGCGAGTGGATCGGGCTTACATAAGCGTCTAAGGCAGGATGCACCCAGCCCTGAAGGTGTTAGGTAGGGAGTGAAGATCGTTGTCGACCTCGCCTGCAGTCGGAAGAGGTAACCTCGGGTAGGAAGGACGTGGCCTATAAAAAAAAAAGTGTCTTAGAAGTTTGGCGAGTGGGGTTGTTGGAAGGAATGCCTGGTCTCGAAAAACCCCAGCGGGAGAGCTGGAGGGTGTGCACTCACTACGTAGCCTAGGCTGGACTCCAGGGTAGCTCAGGCTAGCCCTGAAGTCACCATCCTCCTGCCCTCAGCCGCCCCAGCACTAGGACTAAAAAGCGTATTTGCCGCTGGGCCAGCAGATGCACATTTTTTAAAAAAATGTTATCACGTTTCTTTGAAACGTGTCATCCATGTCAAAAATAAATAAATAAATAAATAGGTGGTGATATGGTAGCCATGAAGAGTTCCTGAGAGCCACATAAATGGCTCTGCCCGCTCGCCCCTGCAAGCACCTTGGCCGTGCAATAGGAGGGGTGAATGATGGAGGTGCCGTGTGGGTGTGGAAAGGTACCAGAGTGTGTGTCCGGCTGGGACCGAGCCTCCTTGTCGCCCTCAGGGCCTGTGTTCTGCTTACCTCAGCAGATCTGAAGCTAAGGTGTGAGTCAGGCAGTCTGGTTGGAGGAAGGCGTGCCGCTGCATGCTTCCTTGGCTGAGGGAACCCTTGAAGAAGCGACCAATGACGGAGCTTTAGTCTGAGGCTTCAGGCTGCTCCTATGTCAGTGCTTCCACACAGTCACTGTTATTATTTGTACTTGTTGGTATTTATCCACTGCATGTGTGTGATGTGTGTGCGCATAGAGGCTACAGCCTTCCACCTCGTTGAGGCTGTGTGATGTACTCCAGGCTGGCCGACCCACAGTCTCTGGGTGACTCTGGTCTCCGCCTGCCGTTTTGCTGTAGGAGACCCAGGATCGATGCGCTTTGATAAGTGAATTGCTACATGCTGCTTTTTGTGTGTTGTGAGATCGAATTCTAGGCAGTCAAGTTTCACAGCTAATGCTCTTGTGCGCTGACATGTCTTGGCCCGTTTTCTCTAGGGTTTTTTGAACTGCTAAGCCAGAGCTCAGTTGGTAGCCCAGACTATCTGGCCTTTAACTCAAAGTAATCCTTCTGCCTCAGTCACCTGAGCACTATAGATGTGAGCCACTATATCCAGCTCTCAGAACGAATTCCTCTCTTGAGGCAGTGTCTCACTATGTGGCTCTGACTGGCCTGGGACTCAATGTGACATTCAGGGTGCCCTCAAACTCACAGTCCATCTACCTTTACCTCTTAAATACTGGGATTAAAGGTGTGTGCCACTCTACCAGGCCTAATTTTAATTCATTTCTAAACGACAAAAAAAAAAGGCACGAATGCAAACTCTAACCACAAATATCAAGGTGACATGATAGAACATACTTTGGGAATTCTACAAAGAAAATGGCATCCATTTTTTAAATCCCTTCGTGTTGAACCCTGGAGACCTGGCAGCCACCAGGTGTGAAGACAAGGGCACAGGAGCTGGTCTGCCTCCTGTTGTCCGCACGGACTCTTTATACTTTCAGTGATGTGGTTGGCTACAAGCAGTCCGTATTCTCCAGCAGGTCACCTTTGTAAATGTGTGTGAGTGTGCCTGACAGAAAGTGACTCCGATCCTGAGGGTGAGGCATTCTCCTTGGGGCCTCCTGACATCAGGCCGCACAGAGCAGCGAATTACACATGGTCTCTGTGCAGAAGATAGCTTTTGGTCATGTTGAGCTACTCCTTGACCTCGTTGAGACTTACAGACCTTTTATATTAACATTGGAGTCCATTATGTTTTACTAAATGTATCTCAAGTCTTGCTGAAGTCCTGACCCCTTTGCCAGAGACTGTTACTTACAGGCGAGTGTCTCTCAGGCTGCAGATTCTTAGTAGTACTCTGTACCGCATCAGCCACGGGCCTTAGCAGGGACGCTTCTCTGAGGCGAATCTTTGAAAACGATCAGCGTTGGTGCTTACGACACTGCCTCCTTCAGTCTTAGTGCCTCTGCACATGTGCCAGAACTTGCATGTGTGTCAGTTAGAGGATAATGTCCATCGCTCCCTGTGGGACAGGGCCTTTCTGGCAAGGAGCATGACAAGTAGGCGAGGACTGGCTGTCTATCTAGCCCCAGGAATCGGCCTGTTTTCTCCTCCTCAGCTCCGAGATTATAAGCACATGCCAGCATGCCCCAAGTTTTTATGCACTGGCTCCTCCAGAGGTCAGACTAAAGCTTTCATGCTTGTAAAAGCAGGTACTTTATTGTCAGAGCCATCTCCCTAACCTAATTTGGTTTTTGGTGGTGGAGGCGGTTGGTTGGTTTGGTTTGGTTTTTTGGGTTTTTTTTGTTGTTGTTGTTTGTTTGTTTTTGTTTTTGTTTTTGAGACAGGGTTTCTCTGTGTAGCCTTGGCTGTCCTGGGCTCACTTTGTAGACCAGGCTGGCCTCTAACTCATAGTGATCTGCCTGCCTCTGCCTCCCTGAGTGCTGGGATTAACAGGTGTGTGCCACCATGCCCAGCACCTAAGGTGATCTTAAAAATGAGATTACAGAGCCATTGAGATCGCCCCACAGAAAGCACTCAGCAGGCAAGCTGAGGACTCCAGCCGGAGAGCAGTGACTCCTGAAAGTTGACCCCCACCTCTACCCATGTGCCTGCCATGAATGCAGAGGTGGGAACATACGACTCTGGCGATGGCCGATTTGGATTTGGCATTACAGTCTTTTCATGACGGAGCACGTTTCTGCACTTGTCATGCTCCTCAGCCGTGTTTTGAAATTTTACCAGGTTTTGCAGCATCCCAGTCTGGGGTCATATCAAGTTCCTGAATATTGGATACATTGAAGCAACTTCTTAATACACTCAGTCATTGAGAGCATACAGTACTTCAGAACTACTTCCCAGTTGCCTTTATAAAAAGTATGCCTTGGTGAGGAGGCAGAAGACATGGCTGCAGTTAAGGACACTTGTTGCTCTTCATAGGATCTGAGTTCTAGCACCCACATGGCAGCTCACTGCTTACTGTCACTCCGGTTTCAGGAGATCAGACACCCCCTTTTGGCTTCCCAAGGCACCAGGTACACACATAGTCCACAGACACGTAAGTCATCAAAACACCCATTCATATGTAATAAAAGTAAATCTGAAAATAAAATGAAAAGAATATGCCTTTAGGAATATGACTTGTGAACTTCAGCTTGCCCATGGGTTCTGTAGGCCCTCACATTGAGTGTCACTAACCCCAGGGGCCCAGCCTTAGAGTACCCAGGTTCTTGTTACACAGCTTTGCTTGCTGAACAGTAAAATAGTTACTGCATACTTCCCTGAGTGGAAAACCCCTGTGGCACAGAATGGATGGCCTTTAGGAAACCATGGGGCAGGTGTTACTCTCTAACTCCAGGAAGGTAACTGCAGTATAAACAAGTTAGGACTTAAGCTGGGTGGTGGTAACTCATACCTTTAATCGCAGAACTTGGGAGGCAGAGTTCAAAAAGCAAGTTCCAGGACACCTAGGGCTACACAGAGAAGCCCTGTCTCGAAAAACAAAAAAGTAAAATGACTTTCTTTTCTTCTGAGACTAGATCTGACTGTAGCCTAGGCTAGCCTCAGAGTAGCTGACCTCCTGCACCAGCTTCCTAAGTGCTGGGATTGCAGGCATACACTGGCCATAACCTGGTTCATCGTAACATTTTAAAGTAAACATGTTGGCTTAAATAATAGTATAAGCTTCCTATGTGTTTTCTGGAAAACCTAAACCTTTAAGACTGCTTTAAGTTTTATATCAGAGTTTTTATTTCCGTGAATAGAAAGTATCATCATAAAGGTACTATTAATTCTGTTTTTGTGATTGACTTTTATTCTTTAAAAATATTTTTTTCTTGATTACTACAGCTGACTCCTGAGTTCTCACAGCGCTTGACCAACAAGATTCGAGAGCTCCTCCAGCAGATGGAGAGAGGCCTGAAGTCAGCAGACTCTCGGGATGGCAGTGGGTATACCGGCTGGACAGGTACAGAGCACCCGAATGAGCTAGCGTGCACACTGGTGAGAGCCAAAGCAGGGCCTTCCCAGGGCTGTGAGGTGTGGGCACTGGTGGGTGTGTCCTCCCCACTGCACAGTTACCTTCCACATGAGCATTGTTTCGGGCTGGACAGTGTGCTGAGGGTGTTCATGCCTGGCCTGGATGTGGTTACTGTGAAGAGAAAATTACTTTATCTCAGTACCAGGTCTGTGAATGAACCTCCTCTCCTGTCCTTGCTGGTTGATTTTCATGTCTGTCTACCAGACTCCACTGCTGATAGCCTGGAGGGCGGAGAGAACTAGCCACTGCTTTGGAGGAAGTGAGAGATCTCCGAGAGCTGAAGGACTGCAGTTAGTTTTCCCTGCTGCAGAGACAAGAGGGCACTGTGAGAATGTTGCAGGATGCAGTCGAGGGGCACAGGGCACAGGGCTTCCCACGCGCTCTGAATAGGTGGGAGGCTCCATGTTGACATGCTGAACTTAAGGGCTTTGCAGGTTTCATGCACCACAGTTGAGCTGCTCAGTGAGTTGTAAGCAGAAGCCAGAAATGTGCATTTTATAGACAAATGTGGGAGCGGATCTGTGGCGAGCCCTTCCCAGCCCTCGTTAGTGTAAGAAGGCACATTTCCTTACAAGGTCAGGGAAGACAGGTGATGCCTATAACATAATTGCAGGGAACATTAGGCTGACTTTTTTTTTTAGACGTGGTCTCACTATGAAGCCTGGCTTTCCTAGAACTCACCATGTATGTAGATTATTCTGGCCTCAAACTCACCGTGATCCACCTGCCTCTGCCTTCCAAGTGCTGAGATTAAAGGCATGTGCCGCCATACCTGGCCTAAAGGAAGATGACATTGGTTATACTTTTTATAGTTGACTTTTAAGGTTGTTACATATTTTAAAAGTTGAACACATTTAAAAATATTAAGAGGAGAATAAAATGAATGTGTTTTTTGGCAAGAAGGAAGTTATCAAAGTATCATTTATCACCTGTATCAGCTATAGTATAATTGATAGACTTGGACTTGTCTCATTAATAAAGAACTTTGCCATCTTTATTTAAATTAATAGAAGTAGAAAAACAACAGTATTCTTCCCTGCCAGGTTGCCCACGAAGGCCTAGGCTCAGGTCCTTTCCTAAGATACTTGAATTTTCTGTTGTTTTATCTTTGTGACCAGAGGAAGAGCCGGAGCTGACCTAAGATAACGTGGCTAGACTTAGTTCTAGGACCAACTACCAAAAAAAAGGATTTAAGTCCCTAAATTGCCTGTTCAGATGGGCTCATTTTATTATAAAGAACTTTGCTTGAGGATGGGGAGAGAGGGACTGATTGGTTTCAGGTGTGAATGACTAACTTGACAGTGTCAGGAAAAGTCCCCGTCACACACCCTGAATTGCTAGGGTTAGATGAGAAGCAAAACGTCACAGTTCCTTCAGAAGAGCTGTTTTTTCTGAAGTGAAATACACCTGGGTTAAGCTTTTTGACTGCAGTACATTTCTGGCATCATCATCTTCAACTGCTAGTGTCTGTCCTCAAGCAGCTGGAGAGTGCTGGCTCTGGAAGCAGCTCCTGTGGCAAGTGTGAGACAATTGGCACACTGAGCAGTTGAGGAAGTCTTCTGTTGCTGCTGTATTTCTGAGAAAGCATAAAATCTTGTAGATAAATTTGCTAAGGGCTTTTGAGGCAAGGTTCCTAATGTCCCCTCATCGAACGCTGTTAAAATGCCATTATTTCCACATAAACTAAACTGTCTCCTCCAGCGTTCTCATACATAATAGGTTGTCCTGTGCCAGTATTCAGTCTGGAAAATGGGAAGCTCTGAGGTGACTTAAGATATAACACTGATTTGGCCACAGGAAATGATAATCTGTGAGCCTTCAGTAACTACTGTCTATGACAACTGCTGTTTCATTGCTGAGCACTGCATCTATTGCTAATGAATATTAGTAATTAATATTCAATCACATAGTACAGCCTTACTTATTCATTGATCAATAACTTCCCCAAATAACCACACAGTGAGACTATGATTCACTCAAAATTAAGCACAGAGGTAAACATAATAACTAATCTATTATCCCCCTGTCAGTTTATCTTCCTCCATCCAAGGTCTCAGGTACTGTATTATTCTGTTCTCTGGAATCCATCCATTCTCCTCCTCTCCTGCACCTTCTTGTGTCCCCAATCCCTGGCCTGGCAACCTCAAAACTCCACCCCCTCTTCTGCCAAATCCCAGGCTTCATCATTTCTTATTAACCAATCAATTTTAAATTAGGTGGAGCAAGATTTATACAACTAGGACAGGTATATGTGAGAATTTGCTCATCTTGTCCCTACAAGATTTTGGGGGCCAGTAATTAGCATTAAAATGCATAGCACCAGACCAAGCCCCAGCAGTCCAGGAATAGCACAGTGGGAATACTTGGCGCTGTGTGTTCAAGCAGTGACTGTCTGATGCTGTGTACCCGTGTGTGTGATTTATGTGTGCCCAGATAACCTTTCTAAAAATCATGCCTTTTTTTCACTATTTATTTATTATATATCCTGATTGAAGACCCCTCCTTCTTCCCCATTAGCCCCTTACCCCTAGTCCAATGAAAAGGGGTGTTCTCCTCCTCTGCCATAGCCCATAGCTTATCAAGTCTCATCAGGACCGCCTGGATCCTCTTCCTTCCTTGCCAGGCCATGTCATCAGGGGCCAGTGATCAAAGAACAGGCAACCAAGTTTATGACAGAGGCAGCCCCTGCTCCCGTCACTCAGAGAGCCACATGGAGACTGAGCTGCCAATCAGCCAAATCTGAGGAGGGGTTCTAGGTCCTCTCTATACATGGTCCTCCGTTGGTGCATCAGTCTCTTTAGCTTTGTTGATCTCCTTCTGGGGCTCCTGTCCCCTATCCCCACCCCCTCTTCTTCCAAAACACTCCCTGCGCTCTGCCCAAAGTTTGGCTGTGAGTCTCAACATCTGCTTTGATCCCCTGTTGGGTGGATCCTTTCAGAGGACCCTCTATAGTAGGCTCCCATCCTGTTTGTTCTCTTCCACCCCTTCAGGTGTCTATCCTGTTTGCCATTCTGAATGAGATTTAAGCATCTTCCCTAGCGTCCTCCTTAGTGGTTAGCTTCTTTAGGTCTGTAGATGGCTGTCCTATACGATATGTCTAATATCCACTTATGAGTACATACCAGGTGTGTCTTTCTGCTTCTGGGTTACCTCACTCAGAATGATCTTTACTAGTTCCCACCATTTGCCTGCAAATTTCACAGTTTCCTTATTTTTAATAGCTGAGTAATATTCCATTGTGTAGATGTACGACAATTTCTGTATCCATTCCTTCGTTGAGGGACATCTGGGTTGTTTCCAGATTCTGGCTATTAATAATAAAGCTGCTGTGAACATAGTTAAGCAAATGTCCTTATTGAATAGTGGGGCATTTTTTGGGTATATGCTCAGGAGTGGTATAGCTGGATTTTGAGGTGCTAGTCGCAATTTTCTAGATAAGGTACTTTCTTTTGACTTTGCTCACTGTGAAATTTGGAATTTGGGACCTTACTTTTATAAAGACTATCTTATTGTTGCTCTTTGTGCTAACTTATCCACAAATTTAGGAAATGCTGTTTCATTCATTTAGTGAACATTTCTTGTCATGGACAGTGAAAGCTGTTACAAGTTGTAATTAGGTTACAGTGTGGCTGTGTGAGCCAAGGCTATGCTTACAGTTAATTAAAACTTTAAATTGATGTCTTATTCTCTGGTAGAAATGAAGCTGCTGGCCAGTGCCAGTTCAGATAGAATCAGGATTTGCAATAGAATTAGAGTCTTCAGTCTAAATACTATATGTTTCTCCTATGGAGAAGTCATGGAGGGACAGCTGAAGGCTGACGTCATAATCTTGGGTGTTTACAGCAGTCCAGGTTCCTCTTGCTGCCTTCTCATTCCTCAGCTACAAGTTCTGCTCTTGGTAAGGACGGCTGCTAACAGCCTACTGTTATTTCAATGTTCCGGCTGCTAGAAGGAAAAGGAGCAAAGGAAAAATGCATTCCGTTCCCTGAGAAAAAGACTTTACCCACTCAGTGTGGTGTCCAGTTCTGCTCAGTGTGACACGCTGACACATGTCAATTGGTGTCACTCAGGAAGGGTGGCTTCTGTAGTCCGTTAGCTGGAGTTTCGTGTTAAAGAGGAACATGGACTTTCAGATAAAACCTATTAGTATCTAGCTCTTATCTATAAACAAAACTTTCTTAAATATGTGTTGTACAGCCAGTTGGTGCTTTTTTTTTCTCTCATCTGCAAATTCTGTCTAGTGTACTTGAGTCAGGATTTTTATAAAAATGAACTTACTAAGGTCTTAAAATGTTTTTAAATCATGTAAGCGATATTATTGCCCCCTCTTCATTTCCAAAGGAACTGAAAAGAACTTTCTTCTTTCTAAAAACAAAGTCTTCATCTCGCATATAAAGCCTGTTACGGAGAAGTATTTCAGAATGCGACATCCTTAGTACTGTCTAGTGCTCAGTGTGTCCCCCTCCACGAGAGATTGCAGCTGCCGCTGCTGCTGCTGCTGCCGCCGCCATCTCTAACTGATGATCGGGTTCTCCACCCCCCTTTCTTCTCCTCCAAAGCCTTGTTCTTTCTTTTGTGGACTTTAAACGCCTTTGTTTGTTGTTCTGTACACACACCAGTCACACATCCCTAAACCCCACAGTCGTGCACATCTGTGCCCGTCACGATTCTGAAGATTTAAAGCTACCAAACCAGGCTGCCCAGATCCATGACGCCTTGTACATGCTGTGAACTTGCTCTGCTGACCTTGAAGCTGAAAGGGTTCAGCGAAGAGATGCAGCAGCAAGTGTTCAGTGCTACATGCAGACTTACATCCAAACATGGACCCCCATAGCGTTTTCCATCCCGTCAGCGAAACCTGAGACTCATGGGGCCAAGGGACTTGGACTTTCTGCCAGGGCATCTCTATGTGATCTTGCTTTGCAAGA